TGAAAATATAAAATATAATTATATAACTTTTATAAACATATATAAAAATTTTATTTAACAATTTAAAAATTATAAAATAATATATATTTTAATAAAGTACTTTTTTATGTTAAATATTTTTATATAATATATGTAATAAATAAGTAATTTACTTTATTAAATAAGTAATTTACTATTACAAGCTAGTCTATAGCTTTTATGTATTTAAAGTTTTTATATAATAGTATATTACATAGCCTTTATTACTATACTATAAATAATAATATATAGGTTTTTTTAATGTAGTAAGTATAAGTATATACTGTATTAAATATTTTAATAATTTATAAAATTATATAGTAACTTACTTACATAATTATTCTAATAATATAAAAATATAATAAGTAATAGTCTAACTAATTTATTATATAACAAATTCTAGAGAGTTACTTTAAAAAAAAGTAATAAGTATAAAAAAAAAACCATCTAAAAGCTAAAGAAGATGCTTTTTATATAACATATTTTATAAATAAGTTATATAAACAGGTGAGCTATATACTTTACTAAGATCTTAATAATACTATTAATTATAGTACTATATATTTACCTACTGACTTAGAATTAATTTCTTAAGAAGCTAGAATACAGCTTACTATCTATACTCTTAATATAGGCTAAATTCATAATTTCTAAAACACTATATATATCTGTAACGTACTCTTTATAAGCCTAAAGATATAACGTAATAAAACTACCTTATAATATAATTATATGCCCAATTCAATAAAGCTTACGGTCTCTAAAGAGGAGGTAATAAAGAAATATATTTTTAAGCTAGATTTAAGAGAATTTGCCTTTTTACTAAATACTATTTAAGAGATGGCTAATAAGCTACTAGTTAAGTAAAAAATAAACTTAGTAAATATAAATTAGCTACACACCTTCATTAAGTGTACACTAGAGATTTAAATAAAGTATAATTAAAAGCTAGACTATAAGTATTATAAATAGGAAAAACTAGCTATCATATAAGGCTAGTTTAACTTTATATATAATATAAAGACTAAGTATAGTATACAGGATAAAGACACGTATAACTTTAATAAATTTAGTTTCTAAATAGGCATAATAACTCAGTAGAAGGTTATTATAAACTCTAAGAAATAGAGTTATTTAAAGGTCTTTTAGTTAGGTAATTATAAGTAAATTATAATAATCCTAGCTATTAGCGCGCTAGGGTTCGTGATTCTATTTTTTATTATCTATAAAAGTAAAAATTATCTCTCTATCTGGTACCAGAAACTTAGTATACTCTATTAATAGTAATTTAATATCTCTAATAACAGCTAGACAACTAATAAGCTTAGTCTTATATAATTAAAGTACTTTAATATGTGTATAAAGAAGTATAGTGTTAGTGTATACTAATTATTAATTATTAACAGCTATAAGAGCTATAACTCTCTTATATTTATAAAATACTATAAAAAAAATAAAATTATTATTCTATATATACTAGCATACTTATTATATATCTTATAGCTATTAGATGTGGGTTGCTTTTTACCTTTAAAAACAGCCTATAAACGCTAAGTTAAAAAGCTAATATATAACTAGTTTAACTATATTACTAAACTAGAGTTCTTATTAGCCTTCCGTGACGCATTTAAAGCGTTAATTACTAAAAGTAATATTTAAGAAAGCTTTCAAAACACTAGCCTAGTTTTATTTAATCTAAATAAGGTAATATTAAAGCTTAATATTTAATTATATATGTTTATACTACCCACTAACTAAGAGGTCACCTGGTAGTTAAAAACTTTTAAAAACTATTATAAATTTAGGTCGTAAACGAAGCTAATTACTAATAAGCTAGGTAGTTTACTTTTTTCTTTAAAGAATAGATACTAGTAGCTTGTTAAAGGCACTTTTATAATAGCTTAAGAAATAATACTTATATATAATTATATTACTAAGCTTAAAGTAGCTAATAAAGCTATATTTTAATAAAAACTGCGTAAAAGAAAGCGTATTTAGAAAGAAAAAGTACTTAGCTTTAGTACTAGCTAGAATAAATCTACTAAGAACCCTACTACTACAAGTTCTAGTAGTAAGAAGAATTATAGAAAGATAAGAGTAAATAGAATTAAATTAACTTAAAAATACTATAGTAACTACAGTAGAACTAGGCATAACACTTAAATATATAAAATTAATAAAAATAGTACTATAGAATCTAGTAGTAATAAGAACGGTACTATAACTAATAGTACTATTAAATAATAATACTATAAATAATGGTATTTTAATAGGGTTTTAATAAAGTGTATAGCTCACCCATTTATACAGCTCGCCCATAAAATACGTTAGTAAATTCTTTATTTATAATTTACTTATTATTTAGGCCTACTATAGCTGCTTGATTTTTATTAATTCTAATTATTTATATTATATTTATAACCTTATATATAAAATGTTACATGTTTTTTTTGCTATTAATTTTATTAATTTTCTTAATAATATTAGCTAAAAGCTTTATTTTTTACTTAGTTTTTTAAAGTATTTACTTTATTTTTTATTTAGTATTAAACTTTTACACGTACTCTTTTATTAATAGCTAGTAATTTTCTTTTAGTTAGTTTACTATTTTTTATTTTTAATTAATACCTGTAATAAATTCTTACTTATTACTAATTATAATACTTACTTTTTTTAAATTTTTAGCTTAAAAGTTCTTTTTATTTTAAGCTTTAAGTATAAGAAAAGCTAGTTTCTTTAGAAATGTTATAAATATTTCTAGAATCTCTTTTCTTTTCTATTTCTAATAATACCTAAAGTTAAGTTTTTAACTGTTTGTAACTATTATTTGATAAAATTAATTTAAGATTATAATTACTTTATACTAACTTTATATAGTTTTTGTAAAAAGAAGGAATTTTATTACTTTATAAATTTCTTATTTAGCTATTATTTTAAGTGTATTAAGTACTTTTAAAAATATAATTTAATAATTTTTATTTAAAAGTTTAATAAATCTTTACTAAAAAGTATTAGCTTTAAAAGTAGCTAAAGTTTATTTAAAACTTTAAATTAAAAGCTTAATTTTATTAGTAATAACTATATAAATAGCTTACTCTAGTTAATAATTATAAGTATAAGCTGTTTACCTATAAGCTTACTTTAATTAAGAAAATACAAAATCTAGAAAAAAATAAAAATAAAAAATCTTTAAATTATTATAACTTATAATGTCTCTATTTGCTGTTTTTACTAACTTTTTTTTTAAAAAAAAAATTTAATTAAAAGGCTATGTAAGTTTCTCTTTAAAATTTAGTATTACTAAATTTTTTAAATAAAACTAGTTAATTATTCTAGAATATTACTTTAAGTTCTTAATAAGTTTTTAGGTATTTTTTTTTGTTTATAGTTTTTTTATTTAACTAGGTATTTCTACTAACGTTTAAATTATTATAGTCTTTAGATGTTTTTAACTTTATATTCTAACTAGTATAGCCTTATGTTTATGTCTGTTACTATTAGTACGTTTAGTAATACTAGTTTAAATAATAATATATAAACTACTAAATAAATCTTTATATTTTGTAGTAGTTTTAGTTTATAGTTAACTAGTTTAATAGCTCTACTAACTTTAAATAGTCTAATTTAAATATAGTTTAGTTTCTTACTTAGTTTTTTAGTTTTTAAATTTTTATATAACAGAAAACTTTATTTTCTTTCTTAAGAGTTAGTTCTTTAACTTTTAACTTATTAATACTTTTTACAGTTTATAAGTTTTTTAAGATAATAATTTTACTAAAATTATTATATAAGTTCTATAGTTGTTTAGCTTTATTCTAGGCTTAATAAAATTTACTTTTTAAATTATATAGTTTTTTATAAGCTAACAGCTCATACCTGTAATTAGTATAGAATAGTAATATATTACTTATAAATAATCTTATACTACTATAAATAAACTATACTAAAAGTAACAACTTAACTTAATTCTCTTAAGAATAATTAATATATATTCTTAAATATTATTTTAGAGTTTAATATGTGTACTTTGTTTACCTATTTATTTAAAAATAAAAGCTTATTAAAAGCTTATTTTTTAACTTTAACTTAGCTAACAAGGTTTTCTAAAAGTATAATGTAAATAATTTATTTTAGTTAATAATAAACTTTTTCAGTAATTTGTGTTTTTAGATTACTATTTTTAAGATTTTATATACTAGTTTTTTTACTAATAAATCCGTAACTATTAAATTAAAATATATGTACTTAGTTATTTTGTTTATAATAATAAGTACTACATTATATTCTCTATTTGTTTCTAGTTTTTTAAATAATAGTAATTTTGTAATAAAGTTTATTAAAACTAACTACTATAATTATTTTAGTGTTTTTAATAGTTATTATTACGGGAGGCTACAAGCAGTGATATCTGAACCTGCAATAAAGTTAGATTAGTTTGCTATATACAGGACTCAGGTGGTTATAAGAGGAATTACTAAAGAGAGAGAATCTCGCGCAGAGCGAACGGATGAAATAGGGGCTAATGACTAACACGGGCTAACTGGTTTAAGAAGGCTGGCTAGCTGGCTAGTTATGTATACAGCATGGCATGTGTAATAGCATACTGTTATAGTACCTCCTGTTTAGGCGGCTGCGCGTAGCGCATCTAAGTGCGTACTCTTAGCAGTAAGCTTAAGAAACTTATTAGGGGGTTTGGCAGGAGAGCTAGTTTGGGAGCTAGAGCTAGGCTGAGGATTGGATACTGGGCAGTTTGTAATCTAGTAATATCGGGAGCTGCAGCAGAGGTAGAGGTCGTTCTGTAGGCGATAGGAACAGCGTTCAGCTAACGAAGAGAACTGAGAGGGAGCTGGGGAGAGAGACCTAGTGTGATTGAGAAAGTTGACTTCCATAGGTTCTGCGTCGTAAGAGGTTGGGTATCTAGCTGGTTCAGGTACTGGTTTCTGGGCTGGTTTCTGGGCTGGTTTTTGGGCTGGATTCTGGGGGCACCGGGCACGACGGTCTATACGTTGTACTAGCTCAACATACTTGTTATAGGGAAGACTGAATAGGGAGTCGCTTGACTCTTTAAGATACTGGCGGAGGCTGTGGCGGAGCCCATGATGTAGGGTGGTAATATGGGATATATCTAGCTAGAAAGTAGCCTTAGTCTTGTAGGCTAGCCGCTTAAAGTGAGCTAGGTATGTAACTAGAGATTCTTTCTCTCGCTGTCGAACTGATGTAAAACGCTGGACTGATTCTTGTTGTTCGCGGGGGTTGTGGCAGAGGCGCTGGAAGAAAAAGAAAATAGCTTTAGGATCTCAGGACTGGGTTTCTTCTGCTGACTGGCGGAGGTGTAGAATAGAAGCCTGCTGTGGCTGCTCTAGACGGTCCTATATATAGTTAAAAGCATTAGATCCCGTAAGCTGATTAGAACGGAGTTTAGCTTTAATAGATGGAAGCCGGGTGCGTAGAGTATAGGGCTTGCTATTAAAGCGGGGAGGATCAGGAAGGCGGGGTCTAGACATGGAGGGATGGTTCTGGGTCTGGGTCTAGAGGAATAGGATATTGTTGCGGAGCGACTGGATTTTGATGCGCTGGTTCTGGAGCTCTTACTGAAGCTACTATACTAGCAGAAAAAGGGTTGACTAGTCTGGGGTCTGATTTGACATACTAGAGAGAAAATTTTCTGGATATAACGAAGACTCCCGGTTGAGAATCCGCAACGGCTGGTTGGCTGTTGACGTCGTCTAGCAGGGTAAGCAATTCCTAATGTCACGGGAGGCTACAAGCAGTGATATCTGAACCTGCAACGAAGTTGGATTGGTTTGCTATGTATAGAACTCAGGTGGTTATAAGAGGAATTGCTGAAGAGAGAGAATCTCGCGCAGAGCGAACGGATGAAATAGGGGCTAATGACTAACACGGGCTAACTGGTTTAGAAAGGCTGGCTGGCTGGCTAGCCACGCGTGCAGCGTGGCACGTGTAATGGTATACTATTACAGTTATAAAAGTTTATAGAGCTTATATTATGTTAGTTTGTTCTTTTTATATTTTAGGTAAGTTTTAATTACTTTCTTTATCTTTTCTTTTAACTCTTTAATATAGAAATTCCTAGAAATTTGCTTTATAGTTTTTTTTATTTTTTAGTATTTATATGCAATAGCTTTATAATTCTCTTTAATTAATTTTCTTTATAACTTTTTTAGTATATAAATAAGTTTATTTACATATAAAAGTCTTAACTCTAAATTTTAAAAGTTTTATTACTTAAAATTCTGTATTCTTGTTGTCTAGTAATTCTTAACTTTTATAATTATTATAATTTTTAGTTAATTATAACTTATAGATTCGTTTAATTCTATTAATAATACTATACTTAATATTAGTTTGTGTTGTTTTATATAGTTTAGTTATTAATTAAATATATTTACTGCTTTATTTTTTAATTCTTTTTAGTAGAATATTTTAAATTTATAAATAACTAGTATTTCTAACTAGTGTATTTGTTTTTTGTTTAGTTTCTTTATAATAATACAGCTTATTAAGTTTTTATAATTTAAAAGGATTTCTATTTAATACTTAGTATTTTTAAAGTAAATTTGCTATTTTTTAAATACTACTATAGCTACTAGTAATTCTTTATTATAAACATTATAATTTAACTTAGCTTTTATAGGTTTCTTTAATAAGTAGTTTATAAAATAAAGACGTTTATTTTTATATTATTAATTATAGACTACTTTTATTACTTAATTAGATATATTTATTTCTAGTATAATTAGTAATTCTAGGTTAAACATTTTTAATATTAGTACTTAAGTAAACTTGTTCTTAAGTTTTTTAAATACTTACTAGTATTCTTATCTATAATTAAATTTATTATTTTTCTTACTTAACTCTGTTAAAGGTGTCGTGATTTTTAAATATTCTTCTATAAACTTTTTATAGAAATTTATAAATTTTAAAAAAAACTATATTTCTTTTACTATTATAAGTATTAGTTAATCTCGTATTTTTACTAATTTCTTTAAATTTACTAAGATTTCTTCTTTTAAAATAATAAATTCCAGGAACTCTGTTTTTATAATATGGAATTTATATTTTTCTAACCAAATAAAAAAGTTATATTCTTAAAGCTTTTTTAAAAACTTTTTAACGTATACTTTATACTCTTTAAGTATTTTATTTATATATACTAGTATATTATTTAGGTATGCTATTACGAATATATTTAAGTATTTATAAAGTATATAATTAATAACTACCTAGAAAGTTACTAGCATATTTGTTAATTTAAATAGTATAATACAGTACTTAAAGAATTTATATTTTATTTTAAATACTATTAACTATTTATATTCTTCTTTAATTTAAATTCTGTAGTATCTTTTTTAGATATTAAATAAACTAAACTATTAAGGTCTCTAAAGTCTATTTATTAGCTCTTAAATTAATAGTAATAAATATTAATTTTTTATTATAGTTTAATTTAGTTACCTAAAATTTATACATAATTTTAGTTTCTTCTTTTTTTAAGTATAAATAATATTAGTAAAGCTATTAAACTTTTACTTAGTTATATATATTTCTTTTTATTTTTTTTTTAATATATTGTTTTAATTCTTTCTACTGTACTCTTAATAATGAATATATTAGTTTTAGTTTTAGTTTAAGCTTTTCTTTATTTTTAACTAGTATTTTATGGTTTTAAAATTAATACTTTAAAAGTGTATTTTTTTTATTTTTACTAAATAAATATACAAATTTCTTATATTCTTAAGGTATTTAGGTTTTAGTAGTATTTAAAGCTTTTTAGATTTATACAACTTTAATATTCTATAACTGTTTTTATTATAATTGTTGTATAGCTTTATATAATTTTTTTTTTTTAAAGTATTTTTTTATTATGTTTAGTTTCTATATTCATACTACTTTTCTTACTAAATTATACTATTAAATGGTTTTTTATTACTAATCTATTATTAAATTATATAATAAGAGCTAGTTTTATTTTAAAATTATATTTAACTTTTCTATATTTAGAATATTAATATAATAGATATATTTGTAACTTATTACTTTTAGTTCTGTTACTATAGTTTCTAAGTTAATTAGACTCTTTTTAAAAGTTACTATACTATTATATACTTGCTTTACTTTTACTAAATACATTATTTTTTAGTATAATACATTATTCTATTTAATTTATTAATTTAAAATAAATGTTCTATCTGCTCTATTATCTACTAGTACTTTTAAAGATTTTTTATTTACTTTTATGCTAAAATAAAGACATAGTTCTTACTATACTTATTATAGTCTAAAAGTTTTAATAGTTATGTTACTAGTTTAAGCTTTTTACTAGTAGCTATTAGTTTTTTAATATAGAATTATATATACTATACTTTTAATCTCTATTATTTAAGTTAAAGTACCTTTTTTTAATATATATAAAGTAGTAGTTATAGTAGTATACTAAATATAATAGTTTATTATATTCTTATTTAGCTTTATTTTGTGTACTAAGTATTTCTATTCTAAGAAACACTTTTTATAAGAGAGTTCTAAGTAGTATAGGTTGAAATTCTATTATTTAACCTTTTTTTTTCCTATAATATCTGCATTTAAGTGTATATTTCTTTTAATATTATTATTTATATTAGTAGTTTTGCTAACCATTTTCGTTTTTTATATTAACTATAGTATTTAGGTTTTTTAAAACTTATTTATTTAGTCTTTATTTCTTTACTACTTTTTTGCATACTTTTTATCCTTTTAGTTTTTTTATCTAAATTAAATATATTGTTTATGTGTGTGTGTTTTTTATATAGTTAACTAACTTACAAATTTAGTATTTCTAATTCTTTAATTATTAAAAGATATTAGTATCTTTAATTTATATAATAGGTAAATGTGTTTTTACTTTATTATATTTATTATTTTTATTTTCTAGCTTAGTTTCTTATTTTACTTAAGTTGGTTTTCTTTTTTAATTTCTAAAAATATATAGTTTTTTTTATTAGACTTCTATAAGAAATTAAGATACTACTTTTTTTATAAAACTATTATACTATAAAACCTGTTTTCTAGCATAATTTTTTAGTACTTAGTTTTATAGTTTTTCCTTAAATATTAGTTTAATTTATAGATTTAATATGTATTTTTATTTAGCTACTATTAAATAGTTACTATTATAATTCTAGAAGCTTTATATATTAAAAGTTGGATTTTCTAAAATAGCTATTATTTTTTATTAATTTTCTAAAGTATAAGGTTTTTTACTTTTATGCTTATTACATAGTATTGTTTCTTAACTACTTTTTTAATACCTTTTTTAAATATTACTAGTTGTTTATGAGTTTGTGTTTTGTTTTTTAATACCTTTTTTTATAATTCTTTTTATTATATTTTATAAGTTTATAAGTTTAATATTAATTACTATTAAGCCTTTTATTAATAACTTTAACTAATAAAGTTTTTTTTTACTATAAGTTTTATTTTATAAGCTTAGGTCTTATTCTAACTATTGTAATTTTAATTTCTTATTTAAATATTTTTTTATAAAGTGTCTAATATTATTATATTTTAGATATACTTTTTTATTAAGTTACTTTCTATATTCTTAAGTTATAGGCTACTTTTTTAACTCTTTTTATAATTTAGATTTCTTTATTTAAACCTTATTAATATCTATTTTATTATATATTTAACTTTGTTGTGTTAACGTTTTCTTTTTTTTAATAGTTAATATTTAACTTTTTATATATTCTAGTTCTTACTTGTATTATTAGTTATTAATACATATAGTAGATTCTATGAAAGCATAAAAGTTATTTAGTTAATTTCTTTTAGCTAGTTTATTTTTAACTTAGTTTTTAAGTTTAATGTAATAAACTGCTATTAATAGTGTGTTATTTTAATTAATTTATAACTATAATTATTAAAACTCTATAATATATACTAAAACTAATTTTATTTACTTAAAGTTTTATATCTTGTATTTTGTAGATCTTTTTTTATTAATTTCTTTAAAGACTATAGTTATTTGAGTTTTGAAGTTATTATAACTCTAAAAAACTACTTTTATTTTATTAGTTATTTTAGTTTCTTTAGTTTTATTATTTATATAGTTTCTAGTTAAGAGCTTAAATTAGTTTATAATTCTATTTTCTATATTCATATTAACTACAAAAATTCTATTTTAATTCTTAGAAAAAAGTTTTTATTAGAGTGGGTGTACATTTCTATGCTTGTTAGAAATTTTTTAAAGTGTTTATATATTTTATTAAATCTTTATAGTAGTTATACTTTAGTACTTAATATATAAACTTTTATATTAGCCTAATTTTTTAACTTTATAACTATTTATTATAGCTTTAAAATTTGTGTCTATTGTTACTATATAATTTAGGCTATAAATAATACTAGTGCTAAAGCTAAACTACTTAAGTCTATTATTATTATATATAAGTTATATAAGTTATAGGTATTTATAGTGTTACAAGCTAATTTATAGCTTTTATATATTTAAGGTTTTTATATAATA